TAAAATTTATGAGTTCGTTTCTCCCACACACACACACACACACCACAGAGATACACAGAGTTACGCACGCATACTGACACGCACGAATGGGGATGGCTATTTGTCTGCGGCACTCCTGCTGCAACTGACTTTTGACGGATTGTGGCTGCAATTTCACAAGCTGCGACGCATTTGACAGCTTCAAAAGTTTACATAAATTCACTTATGCTGTAGATTTAACTGTGTGGTTGGAAACGGAAATGGAAATACTCGTACTAAATGAATATTGAGGGAAAACCTTTTCGCTTTGTCTTGGCCACAGTTTCTTTTGGGTTCTATTTGATGTTGGCTGTTGGGTGTGGGTTGACTGGCTGTCATTGCGTTCTCCTTAAGGTATAATTACATTTGTGCCCCAGCTGTTTCGCTTCTCAGTCATTACTCATATATATACATATGTCATATATGTCGTGTGTGTGTTGCCCAATCAGCCAGCAACCAGCAAGCAACAACCAACGCAGGCAGCCAAGTCGTCGACACTTGCCCAAGTCATTTGCAATTGTTGCGCTAATGCCCCACCAATTGCACACATCACAGCTTGGTTGGTGGAGAGACAAATGGCTTTTAGCAGCACAATTAACTTTTAATAATAACTCAATAAATTGGAGCGGGGAGGGGAGAGCGGCGCAGATAAATGACTTATGAGCTACATCCAAATCGCTTCCTAATCAGAATTCAAGGTCTACTGCCATATGAGAAGGCGAGCACACAGCACACAGCACACAGTCCACCGAGCACAGGCAAAGCGTTGACGTCGATGTTGGGGGCTTTATGTAGTGGCAAGTGGCAAGTGCCAAGTGCCAAAGGCAGCAATTGCTATTCAGGTGCCTGCTGCCAATATCTCTGTGTATTTGTATATGGTATCTCAGTATCTCTGTATCTGTATCTCTGTATCTATATCTGTATATCTGTGAAGAGTGAATGTTGATTCAAGGTTGCTGCAGAGCACCCCCCAAAGGCGCTCGCAGCATTATACAAAATTTAATTAAAATTTACCATATTTCTGTTGCTTTTGCTGTGATCTCTGGTTGTTGGTTGTTGGTTGGTTGGTTTTAAAAATAAATTGCAGATATTTAAGCAAAGAAATATCAAGGAAATATTGCAAGCCAACACGAGTGTCGTGCGACACCAAACCAAAATCATAAATAAGAGTATAAATTTAAGCTCATTTAAAAGGCAAAGGGATGGACAAAGAAAGGGCTGAGCGGAAAGGGGCAATGCAGTTGCTTCTTGTTCTGCTTTGGCCAGCTGCACATTTGTCAAATAAAAAAACAGAAACACACACAAAAAGACTAAGCCGCCCGCTCACATACACACACACACAGAGATACTCACACGTACACACACAGATACAAATACTTAGACACGTGTAGCGCGCCATATTGGCTGGCCGCGAATGCAGTTTCCCCCTTCGCTGTTTCTCTGTTTTGCGATTTTTGTTGCCGCTTTCAACTGTCAGGCAGTTGCGAAAGCTTAATGCCAGCTAACCGCAGCACCCATCCCCCACCACCCAACCCCCCAGTGCCGCAGCTAGCCCTGCTCGTGCCGTGCCACCACTCGTTGCCCGCCCTTAGTCATCGCATTTTGCACATGCCGCGCTGTCTGCCTCGCATTTTGCACTATAATTTGTGTGTGTGCCTCGGTTAGCTTTCCGTTTTTGCTGCCTTTTGATATTATAAAACAAATTAGTTGGAATAAAGTGCACAGTATATGGGTACAGGGGCAGGGCATATGCAATTAGCCGCATCGACAAAGGGAATAGGGCGCGCTGTGGGGGAGGGAGGGATCTATACGCGTATTGGAATATGGTAAATAATCTGGGGTACACCCGTAATTGTCCAGAGTGAGAACAGTTATCGAACTCCTCTCTAATCGTTGTCCTCTCGGCAACCGCAGCAGATTGTTTTGCCCCTAATTGCCTGTCACATGCAATCATAGGAGTTTAATTTATAATTTCCCTCGTGCACGACTTGGTGTCCTTCCTTTTGTGTGTCATTCAAGCGCCCACTTGTGCAGTGCACTTGGGCACTTCCTTTGGCGGCCATCGCAAAGGCGAACCATCAACCACCCCGTCACAGTGGCCTGTGCATGGGCATGGGCATGGGCATGGGGCACATGTGTGCATATAAATTTATGGCCCCAACGTTTAACCACCCATTGCGGTTGCGGATGCCTTGGGGTTTGGCTTTGGCTTTGGCTGTGGTTTGGTGCTGACTGTGGCTTTGGCTTTCGCGTAATGGCCTGCAGCCTTGCAACGGTAGCGGCAACGGCAACGGCAACAGTCAAGGCCTTGATTAAAAGGCGTGCGAGTCCCTGGGTCGGGCGCGTGATTGTCATTGGTGGCAGTAAATGCACATAAATCTGCATTTAAAGTAATAACCCAACGACGACGATGATGATGATCATCATCATCATAGTCATCATCATTATGATGCAGCAATGACAAAAGGCTGAGCAAACAACACGGCGCATGAGTAATTTCTTGTTTTGTACTTCACATTGTTGCACTTAATTATTTTATTCTTTATTCCACTTGGATTCGCATTTGGATTCGCATTCCATTCGGACGCGCTTGAGCAGCGAAGGTTAATCATACGCCGCGTTGTGCAATTGCAACTAACAGACAAATGGTGGCCGCACGCGGTGCGTATGAGTAATGGCGCAACGGGCATGGGTCGCATTACGTATGCGCCACGTGGCCACCTTGAAGATCTCCATTTGATTTCGGGCTGCCTTCGCTTCCCTTGCCCCCGCAACTTGCAACTGCAACTGCATTGCCAGGCGGCACATCACACAGGCCCCCGCCGAACAACAGCAACAACAACTGACAACTGACAATAATTGCGCACAATTAGACATTAATTGCATTCATTCTCGATTTGCAATGCCAGCAGTTGCAGCAGCAGCAGCAGCAGCACTGCGATCACTTGTCCCTCCATCCATCCATCCATCCATCTGCTCAGGCCACCTCATTCCCATTCCCATTCCGTCCATCCATCTATCCATCTATTCATGCATCCATCTGTTTTGCTTGTGGCTTGCATTTTGCAGTGCGATTCCAGATTGGCGATATGCGATTCAAGATGCGGAAATGCGGCATATATCTTTTCAATTAACCAGCCACGCCTTGACTTGGCAAAATAAACTTTTCCATTGTTGTTCATTCATTTTGTTTGTTTGTTCCGCCCCCTGACTGCCCTCGCTGCCTATCCCCCCGCGGCCCACAACAATGTGGGCGTGTGTGCCTACGCTGACATAAATTTAAATGTGCCACAGACAAACAGATGGACAGCAAAGAGCAGGAAGTTTGGAAGCTTTTGGTCAACTATATATTTCTGGCCGAGGAGGCTTGTGCAACAGGTTACCAAAGTGAAAGTGCAGCTGGCCAGAGACAGAGTTGCATAAAGAGAGAGATAGAAAGAGAGAGGAGGAGATACATGGTGATAGATAGATTGGTGGCATGGTTCGAATAATTGAAAATGTTTGACTAATTGAATTGATGGGATAACTGATGGGGGGCTTAGGAAACTCCTCCCCACTGACCCGCTACTCATTTATTCGATAACTATTTGCTGCCCCGCCCCACCCCCGCTAGATTTCATTGCTGTTCTTTGGGCTTGCCTGAATGTAAATACAACAACAAAACATAACCACCATATGAAAATCTAATCAGACTTTCAAGGTTAACAAATTCTGGGGTGGGTGCCGTGTGGCTGCTGTTCACTTTGATATTTGTTCTCCTCCTCGTCGCTGTTGTTGTTGTTGTTTCAGCTGGTTGTTGGGTCGCTTTTGAGGTTTTCTGTGTGTGTTTGCTGTTAAGAGCCCTTAAACGCTACTAACGAAATAGCCACACACCACACACATGCACATAGCATATATGTATGTATGTATTTCCAAACATATGAATATAACAAGTTGTGCCAGGATGGAGGCGGGGGTTCGTATAGATAGTGGGCAAACAAACAAAAGGCAGACTGTCCGTTGCTCGACGAATGATATCTGCGGGGGAACTTGCACAGGGTGGGGGTGGGCATGGGAAGGGGCCTAAAAGTTGCGTAAGATTCCATTTCGGTTGGCGTCTTCGATGCTCGATTTGAGGCGGTGGGAAAGGCAGGCCCTTAAAGTTCAAACATAATTAATTAAAGAGCCAAGTCGCGTCCAATGGCTGAATTGTGGAAACGTTTGGCACTAAGTGGTGGCGGAGGGAGGCGGAGGGAAGACTGTGGGGCTATTGATTTTGCTGTAATGAATGTGTGTGTGCGCGCGGTGTGTGTGTGTGAAGTTAACGAGCTGCTGACATTGCCCTTTTTTTTGTGTGTGATTGATGCGTTGGCAATTGTTGGTCGTCTCATAGCAATACCCTAGCAAAGGGTACACCAATTCGAAGTAAAGCGAGGCAGCGTTTCTTGCCCCTGGCCGTGATAAGGTGTCGAATAAATCGGATTTATCTGTTTACTGATCTTTATTTGAATGCGGCTAATATATAAATATACGGGGAATCACTATGCCGATAGAGCTGACTGCTAGATATGTAACGAAAAGCGAAGTATCTGAAGCTAGGTAGCCTTCCTTTATATTTTTCTTGCTGTTTCTGCTCGTCTAGTATTTTTGACATTTATTTGATTCTTGATATTTCTCTTAGGGGGGATTAGGCCTGCACTTTTCTTTGCATGTTTTTCCTCGTGTGCCGCACAGTGCGTATGAGTAATGAGCGATGTGTGGCTGTCGTTGAATCAAGCATACGCCATGTGGACGTGCCAAAAATAAAATTCGCCCGACATTTACATAATGATGGCAATTAAAATCTATACACAAAGTTGCAATTAAAACATGCCACACAAATGTCACGCTCTGTTTCCCCCCAAGATTTCTGACCGCATTCCTGGCCACCCCTAAGCTTCGGCTTCAGCTTTGGGGTGTTCATATCTTATAGATCTTGAATTGAATGGAATGGAAACACTCACCTTTTTCTTGCGATCATCCTTGAAATCAATGACAATGCCCTCGTCCGAGGTGGACACCGATGTTGTGCGTATACGTGCATTGGCCGCATCGTGCGGCGACAATATGTTGGGGCTGTGATGGCCGTGCCCGTGGCCATCATCGCTGAGGGGCGGCGAGGCCGAGCCGGAACTCCAGGAGGCCGATGAGCTGCTGCCGGGACTGGAGCCCAGACAATGGTCCGACACTGAAAGATTCGGCATAGAGAGAGAGGGCTTTGGGGGAACAATTGTGCGGGGATGGACCTACCCCCGTTAGGATTGTGTAGGTTCATGAGAATCATAGCTGCATTGCATTCCACCATCTGATCCTCGTTGCCCGGATTGCTGCCGTAGTCCTGATGATCACTGGACGGACGTTTCCGTGAGCTGTAACAAGGCAGAGCAGTATGAATTTAGTAATAATTATTATAACAATTAATGGAATATATTTCGGGCGATGGAAATCATTGACAGATGTGGTGGCCATTGGCCTAGTTCTAAGACATGATTTAATTACCCACCCACACACACACACACACATTCATCTCCCCATATGCATGCATATATATACATATATGTATGTGTACAGATAAAGATATAGACACGCAGGCTGTCGGGGCTTTAGCTTTGACTTCAAAGCAACCGCCGATTGCTGCTGCTGCTGCTGCTGCAGCAACAATGCCACGAGGTCTTTTCAGCGATAATCGCCTACAGCGGCATTTCAATGCAAAACATGGCAAAACTATTTTTCCATTTAACTAATTTCTGCCCCAATCCCCATGCCCCAGCTACAGCCACAGCCGCGTCATTGTTTCGTCATTAATTGGCCTCTTTGCGATGGCCTCACATATTTGAAGCGATGGCTAATGTACTCATATATCTGCATATATTTCACAGATCCGTGAGCTCTGAATGCGCCTCTAGAGTCGCCTCTGAAGTCGCCTGACTGTGGCGCTTTAAGCTAACCTTGTGGCAACCTTCACTGGCCAAATCAGAGATGATATCCTTTTGCATTTGCTTTATGAACAGCGTTTTTACGCTCAAATAAATTGAACAAAGGCAGACGACAGTGACAGCGACAATGGCCAACTCGCATAAGAATGCAGTCAGCCAGCTAAGCTTTGATGGGAGCACAGAATGAGGGCTGCGCTGCTATGGCTGTGGCTGTGGCAGGGGCACAATAAAGACGCGAGCGACAGTCGCATTGCGAGTGCGTCGTGTCATAAATTCAAAATATTTTCATACGGAAAAAACTGATTTGGAATACCCCGTAATCAAGCGGAGTGCGATTGAGACTCCGCTGCTGCCATCCATCCACCCAAGCACTCTGTTGTAGACATAATTGAGCCAAATGCCAACAATTGAGACGTCGTCATGGCCACGGCCATCATCAGCGTCATCCCCGGGGCTCAAAGTGGCCGAGTGGTCGAGTGGCGTGAAGGAGTGCTGCGAAGGATTCCATCGAACACTTGCTGCGTGCCAGGATTAAAATATTCCAAGTGCACGCCATTGAACCCCACTCCCGAGTGGGTGGCTGGCTGGCTGTTCATGCTTCGCTGGATCCACTGTTGCTGCTGCACTAAGCAATTATTGATGCTCAGACTTAAGCGGCTTAGTGGCAGAGCAGCAGCAGCAACAGCAGCAGCAGCAGACTGAGGCTGGGCAGGGAGACTGCGAAAGTGGCTTTTGCTAAGAGCCAGCCCAGAGCTGGTCAAACTTTAGTTGGGTGAGTCGGGGGGTTGGGTGTTGGGTCGGCCTTTCCCTTCATTATCACCAAGTGTTCTCAACTTTCGTTATCTCTCGGCCATCTGCTGTTGGCGTTGGCCCGAACAGAACTCGTGCCCGCTCTCTGGCCCCGGCCAACAAATCTACGACTCTACGACTCCATTGTGCAATCTAAAAAGCCGCAGGCAGTCGGCAGACTCCGCTGCAGTGTTGCCGATGTTGCATTTAAGTGAATGCAGCTCCTTCTCTCCCCGAAAGCCATAAAATTTTATTACACTGCTACCAGGTTTTCGCCGCTGCTGTTGCTGCCTTTTGTCTAATGCCACGGCTGTCAGCCGTACAGTCCCAGAGTGAGCTTAGGCATAGCAGCACCTTCTCTGGCCAATTCCCAGCTGCTGTTGCTGTTGCTCCTCTTCTTCGGCCGTACGTTGCGCCCCAATTAAATTTACTAAACTCACCGATAAATTTCTGTTTCAGATCGTTGCTAATCGCATAAAAGTAAATTTGCGCATAAATCGCCATTTCCTTTGCCGTCGAGAGTGAACCACGGTCCACGAGGTTTCCTTCTCGAATCTGGGATCTCAAGCGTCGAGTCGGAGTCTCTCTGCCTGCTGCATTAGCTGCGGTCACAGATTGAGTGTTTTTGCCGGCCGGCAAAAGGCGCGTGCCTGACAGACATCACATTGGTTGGGAGTGCAGGAGTGTGGAGCGCGAGGCGTTTTGGCCATCACGATGTGGCCATTTTATGCGCACAATCGGTACCGTTAGGCCCAGGCCTGCTTTCCGCCCCATTGCGCAGCCACAAAACTTTAATAAACTGCAAGCTGCAGTCGCAGTCGCAGTTGCAGTCGCAGTTGCAGTTTTAGTTGCATTGTGGCCGTTGTTTGTTAGTGCTGCTCTCTGACCAGGTCTCCTTTTTGGCTTACTCACTGCGTGGCCGCACGTAAATTGCCCCAAGAGAAAGAGCGGGCCAGAGAAGGAGGCTGAGGATCTTTGTGTTTGTGGCGCGTGATTGAAATGCGATATATTCGCGCCCGATTTTGGGGCCAGCTCTTGCAGCCTGAGCCTGGGAAATGCGCCATGATTTTCACTCAGCTGCCGCTGCCGCTGCTGCTGCTGCCTCTTTCGCTCGTTTTCCCGTTTTCCGTTTGCTGTTTTGCTAGCAATTATTTGCCCACGTTTGCTGCGAGCTGCAACGTGAAGTTGCATGCAGCACAGAGCAAAACGAGCAGCAGGCAGCAGTCAGCAGCAAAAAAATAGGTGTTGAAAGCAAAATTACATTGCAATGTTCAGCGAATGTCAGGAAACAAGAGATGCGATATGATATGCCCCAGAGGGGCAGCAACAGGCGGCAGAGGCCTGTGCTGTGCTGTGATGTGATGTGCTGTTGCAAGTTGCTTTTGCTTTTGGTTTGCATGCTGCACAAAAATTAGTGAAAATTGCCACAAATTTGCTGGTTTCAGCCCCACATTTTGTTGTTGTTGTTGTTGTCTTGGATTTCTGTGTGGCTTACAATTAAAGTTTATTGAATTAGCCACGTGCTCGGGATTCGCTTTGGTTTCTCCCCTCATTTTGTGTTATTTTTTGGTTAGTAATTGGTGGGACTGGGACTGGGAAAACCTTATCCCGTTGAAACTTTCACCAAATTGCAGGGGAAAGTGCAAGTGCGCACTGAGGTCCCTCGACCTCAACAACAACCCAAGTCTCAAACGAAGTCCCAGTTCCAGTCGCGGTCCCTATAGCAATTCCCCACCGTGATTCCAGCGAGACAAAGCGACTACTCCGTGGCCAAGTAAAGGCCCGCAGATATCGGTAATCGCAAATCTAAACAATTTTCAAGTGTAATTTATACGCAGGCGAAAATACAAAAATAAACTCAAAACACACACAAAAAACGAAGCAGAGTCGCTGCCTGATTTCTCTGATTAGAAGAACAGTAGAAGCGTCGGAAGGGGAGGAGTGGGAGTGGAAGGGCAGCCACTCAACTTCATTGAGGTTTTCAGTGCTGGCTTACGAAAGAGCTTTCGCCTTATCAGTTTGCACGATAAGAGAGAACCCAAGACTCCGCAGCACACAGATAAATACGTAACTACGAGTGTGCCAGCGTTTATTCAAGTAACTTTGCCAATGTCAACAGCATAAACAACAACAACAAAAAACAAAAACGGAAATGTTCCAGCAAAGGCTAAAGCTGAAGCTAAAGCTAAAGCTAAAGGTAAATACGATGCTAACAAAAGAGGCCACAACGACAATGTTTGACCCAAATCGATCGATCGATCGATGGCCAAAACAGGAAGTTTTTTTTCTTGCTTAGTTTTGCACGCCGCAACGGTGCGTATGGGCAATCAATTGGAGATCTTGCCATATTCTCGATAGTTTCTCGTTTCTCATGAATAAACGAAAACCAAAACAAAACCGAAACCAAAACCAAACCAAAGAGCAAGGGGAATGTTACGCACTTTTATTTATAAATATATATTTTTGTATTTTTGTTTTCGCATATTTGGGGGCTTTGTTATTTGCCCATGACGTTGCCAAATGAATTCTGTTGTTTTGTGTTTTATTTTTTGTGATTTTATTTTTGGCCAGCCGAAGAAGCAGAGCAGACAAGTGCCTGGGATTGTTGTTAGTTGTTGTTCAAGGCAATCCTGTTGTTAGTTTTGCTGTCTCTCAGTCTGTCTGCATTGCGTGAGGTGAGTCAATTGGCCTCCTTGCCGTATGCCATAGGCCGTAGCTCCTCCTCCTCCTCCACCTCCACCATTGAGAGTTTTCTCACATGACACAATTTGAATTTGTTGTTGTTGTTGCTGTTGCCGTTTTTATTTGTTCATTTTATTTAAACAAGGCGAAGGCGACCTCTTTCTGGCTGTTGTTGCTGTTAATTTGGAGGTTTCGCTGTCGCCCCAGCCCGCCGTTGACACACATAATTTCTGTAGTCTCTCACTCTCTTTTTTATCTGTCTTTCCGCCAAAAGCGAACAACAAAAGTGAGCAAATAAAAGCCTGGCTTTTGCGAAGGGAATGTGGCCTCAAAGCCAGGTAGCGCCAGACAGACGGACAGACAGAAAAAAAAACAAGCAGGAAAGAGTCAAACAAATATTGAATTATTTTTGGAGGCAAGCGCAGGTGAGCGCCGCGCGGACAAATTGCCAAAGACAGAGAGAGAGAGAGAGAGTGAATAAAATTAAGAAGAAACAAAAAAAAAATACAAATAAAAGCTGTGCTGTTGTTGTTGTTGCCAATTTGTGCGTAACTGTAAAGTGTGTGAGAGCAGAGCAGCGGCCATGTGAGAGCGCCGTGCGTGACTGGTAAGTGAATGGCGCAGTCAGGCTCGGGCTCGGGCTCGACTCTACTCGGCTCTCTCTCGCAGATCCCCGTGCGTGTGTGTCGCTCTTTGGCTCGTATTTTTCTCTTGTTGACTTTTGGGTTTATTTTGAATCAGATTTCTGCGGAAACTGAAACGTCAGAGTCGCGCGAGAGAGATATGATATCGTAGTAAATACTTGTGCTCCCATTGTTATTTTTTCGGTGCGTAGTTTTCTATGCTTTTTGGCAGTAGTTTGACAGCACGTGCTATTTTGTTTTTATTTTGTTTTGCTTTGTGGCGTGGTGTGGCGTAGGCCAAAAAACAATCGAATTGGATGTGTCATGACTGAATGAAAG